TTTATGCTACGATGCTGAGACTTGGACCAGATGAAACCCTTTTCATATACAACTCGTCAAAAAAGTTTGATTGAAATTGAACCAGTTTTCATTTTTGGCATATTTGAATCTATTGGCCCCCTAATAGTTTGGGTGTGTAGAAATGAAATGATCATTCAGACAGCTTTGTTATTTGTGTATTGTTAGGCACCATAAGAGAGATGATAATAAGGTGTGGCATAGTAAAAAAAAAAAAAAAATCGACTTAATTAGATGAGCACTTCTCAGATCTGCTGCTCTCAATGTCCATAAAAGAGGCAACTCTTGTGGGTTGCATTTTAGGACAGGTCAGTGGTTACCTAACAGTGACTGCATGAAAATGAGGTCCAGTTGTTGCCCTTTGGGATGGGTGGGGGTGGGTCCACTGTCCTCAACAATGGAAAATCAATTACACTATTCAAATAGCATTGTTCATGTGAAATAGCACAACAGCAGAATTTATAACACAAAAGATTAATAAAACTAACATCATTTGCAAGATCATCAATTTTATCTTGTAATATAATAAATGAAGCTAATTTGTTTTTTTACATGATGATGACAATAATGAGATACTGTCAAATCAAAACTTTTTTTCCTAGCTGTTAAAATCTTATTTACTATTGGATCAAAATGTGTTGGTTTGGATCAAGATATGTCAGAAGAGGTCAAGATGGATCAGCAGAGGTCAATATGTGTCAGCATAGGTCAAGATGAGTTAACAGAGGTCAAGATGTGTCAGCAGAGGTCAAGATGTTTCAGCAGAGATCAAGATGTATCACATGATATCAAGATGTGCCACATATCAAGATACAGTATGTCAGAATAATGATGAGAATGTTTATTTAGGGAAAAGTACATACTGTACATACAAAATGAGTTACAAGCAGAAATGTTGGATTTCTAGATAGAGCTAGTATATACAGTACTATGCCTAAAGCCAATAGTACACAGCATTTTGGGCAAGTGGAAATTTTTTTTAAAATTAATCGAGATCAAAAGCAAGAATTGAACCGACGTAAAAAAAAAGAATGACAATTACTGTACATGTTGAATGAACAGCAGAAATTTAAACAATTTGCGGGTCGTATTCCAGGGAACATTAGGATTAAGGACCTGCCCGAAACACTATGCGTGCTAGTGGCTGTTCAAGAATGTAACAACTCTTGTATACACGTAGAGCGTTACCAGAGCAGGGCGAGGAACATAATCTGATTTTAGAAAAAATGCCAATTTTTTTAGAAACTTTTTTAGCTATATTTTGAATGTGGCCCTGGAGCATTTAGTCTCTGGTGTAGTGGTAAGACATTCACCTGGCGTTCCGCGAGCGCTTTGTCATGGGTTCGTATCCTGGCCAGGGAGGATTTACTGGGCGCAAATCCTTAACTGTAGCTTCTGTTTAACTCTAACAGTAAAATGGGTACTTGGTTGTAAAAACGATTCTTCGTGAGTCGTATTCCAGGGACTTGCCCGAAACGCTAGGCGTACTAGTGGCTGTACAAGAATGTAACAACTTTTGTATATATCTCAAAGAAGAAAAAAAAATCAGCTTGTTCCTTGAACACCAAGGAATTTACCATCTACTTTGTAACTGTTATAAATAATATGTGTGTGTTGTGCTTCTATGGGGAACTGGCACTATTAAGGGGTAAGGGTAGTTAGAAGACAGAGTATCAAATATGGGTGAGCTAAAAGGCCCGGCCCCCAAAATAAACTATCCACAGTAGTAATAACTTGCTACTAGACCATATATGTTAGTCTAAGGGTTGATCAATGCGCTCCCACACAGGAAGAAGGGATACTCTGTAATTCATGTACTTATTTATTAACCCCTTAACAACCCCCCCATATACATTCACACCAATAACAAAAATAATAATAATAACTTTACCACACTATCTTCCGTTAAAAGCCTTGGTCCACGTAGGCAGGATACAAGGTTTACACTAAGAACAAGCTAGGGTAAAGTACTACTGGATAAGCACTGAAGCTGGATGCAGCTTAGGGTAGGGAAACCACGTGGGACCCTAATACAAAACACAACACTTAGGGGTACCCAAAACACTGGCAAATACTACCCCCAGGTCTCACCAATCGTTACCACCAGAGTAGGTACACTTAATAATGCCCCATACTTAACTTAAGGGTACAGGAACTTCAGGTAAGGGAAATAAGTAAGAGGAGAAGGGAGAAGAGTAGGGGTGCAGCCACAGAGTAGGTCTCGTCCGCACGAACGCCAGCCAGAGAAGGAACCTCCTAGCGACCAGCTAGGCCTCCCATGTCGTGGTGCCGGAAGGAGCCTAATTGATCGTGCAGCTAAGCACATTAAAAATCTTCCCCTATGCAACGTATTGTTACTTTACAAATGATTAGAAAGTATTAGTAAGTAAAGTTGGTGCCTATGTTATTATTTAATAATCAACCCCCAGCTCAGTCTTTAAATGCTCTTTGAGAAACAATAATAGTCTTACGTCTGGCAGGGAAGATACAAACAATTGCCGCTCGAGATGCACTCAACTGTACTACCAGAAAGTTTAATAGCTCAATTTTGACCTCTGGTTTCCACTGGAGAACCCAGGGTCGTAACAGTAACTAATTAGGAAAATATTAATTCTTAGATTAATTTGATCAGTAGAATTATTACTAAACAAAATAAAGGTTTTATCAATGTTAAAGGTGAGCGTGTTAGCAGTTAGCCAAAGATGGACTTTGTTTATTTCAGTATTCACTGTCATTTAGAATAAGTGTGTTAGGGCTGGAGAAAATGAAGGATGCATCATCGGCAAATGAAACAGGCATGAGGTGTTGAGAGGCATTTGGAATTTCATTAATGTAGATGAGAAAGAGGAGAGGGGCCAAGTATGCTGCCCTGTGGAACACCGATGTTAATGGGTAGGGTGGGAAAATTGGAATCATTCAGTCATACTGGAGCCTGACAGAGGTAAGATTGTAAGTATTGTAGGGAGTCACTTCTGACTCCATAGTGTTATCATTGACAAAGGTTATCATAGTTAACAATGTCAAAAGCCTTACATAGGTCAACAAATAACCCAACAGGGAACTCACTTTTATCAGGAGCTACATGTATCAAATTAATCATACTAATCAGTGCATAATTTTTTTTTTTGGGGGGAAAGATGGGGTCTGGACCCAAAAAAGCAAAGGTCAAGATAATGATGATGATAATAATAATAATATTTTATTTACAAGAAGGTACAATGGGTTTGAGATTAAATTAGTGATATTTTTACATTCTTGTAAAACCACTAACACGCATAGTGTTTCGGGCAAGTCCTTAATCTAACACATCAGGTAAGGTGAAAAAGTACATTGTAGCAAGGTTTTAAATCAACAATATAAACTGACAGCTAATTATGCTGGTAAAGATGAAGTACTTAATTAGTCTTATGTATTAATATTGGGGAAGTGGGTAGTACAAGAACAGTGAGAGTTTGAAGCACAAGGTAGGAAACTATGAAGATGTAATTAGGTGTACATTTTGGTTTTACTTTTGATCAAGGCATAGGTTGGAAAATTTTTTAATTCATTAGGGAGTGAGTTCCAAAGACTGGGCTCTTTTATTTGCATGGAGTATTTGCACAGATTTAGTCTGACTCTGGGGATATCAGAGATGTTTATTTTTGGAGTGGTGCTCATGGGTTCTATTACGTAGATAGCACACGAGACACTGTGGAGAATATGTTTAGCATGTTAAAAGATTTAAACAGAGGGGCTCTGTGTTGTCTGAAAACACTTTGTTATAGTTCTAATAGCAGATTTTTGCCAAGTGATGATAGGCTTGAGGTAATTTGCAGTGGTTGAACCCCATGCACAGATGTATGTAAGATAGGGGATAGATTAGTGCATAGTATAAGAGGAGAGTAGAGTGAGGAACATAATATCCGATTTTAGAAAGTATACAGATCATTTTTGAGACACTTTTGCAATGTGTTGTATGTGGAGGCTGAATTACACAGAAATCACAATTGCATGATGCATCAAATGAACAAATCCACAAGGGCCGTGACGAGGATTCGAACCTGTGTCTTCTTGGTTATCTTGAGATGATTTCGGGGCTTTAGTGTCCCTGCGGCCCGGTCCTCGACCAGGCCTCCACCCCCAGGAAGCAGCCCGTGACAGCTGACTAACTCCCAGGTACCTATTTACTGCTAGGTAACAGGGGCATTCAGGGTGAAAGAAACTTTGCCCATTTGTTTCTGCCTCGTGCCACAGAATTACGAGTCCTGCGCGCTATCCACCAGGCTACGAGACCACCTAGGTGTCCGAGAGCAACCCCAGACGCAGGTTCGAATCCTCGTCACGGCCCTTGCAGATTTGTTCGTGGGTGCTGAAGTTCAGTTTCTTGTCTATGTACAGGCCAAGGAACTTTGCCTCATTTTTATTGGTAATATTAACACTGTCAATCTGAAGATGAATCCGATTTGATTTACTACCAAATAAAATGTAGTAGGTCTTTTCTATGTTTAGTGTAAGTTTGTTGGTCGACATCCATTAGCAGAGTTTGTTATAATTCACTGTTGACATTATTATTTAGTGTATGGGGGGTTGGGGTTAGAATAGATGAAGGCAGTATCATCAGCAAATAATATAGATTTAAGAATGTTAGAAACATTTGGCAAATCATTGCTGTATACAAGAAATAGGTCTCAAGATGCTGCCCTGTAGCACTCCTACTGTTAATGGTAGAGTGGGGGGATGTGGAAGCAGAGATGGGGGAAGATGTGTCAGCAGAAGGTTAGGTGGTTTGGATTAGGCAAGGTATTAAAACTCCATTGGTGAACTATTGTAGGTACGCTGTGACATGTCCTTGATAGTTTGCCCAAGATACCGTGGTAAGCCAATGGCATGGTTTTGTCCCATGGCTTGGTTATGCCTATCTCCCAGGGAAACTGCTCCACTTCTCCAAACACAATCTATTGGTAAACTAATTAACCAGGAAGACAACAAATTAGCATTATTACTTTTTATTTGGCCTATGACGACAAGCATCACAGCAGCTTATGGCATCAGGTTCCCTCATCCTCCCAGCCCCAAGACCTGTGGTAACTTGGGCCACAAGTGTCACGGGGCACACGGCAGGCCCGGTGGCAGCCCCACGGCAGGCCCGGTGGCAGCCCCACGGCAGGCCCGGTGGCAGCCCCACGGCAGGCCCGGTGGCAGCCCCACGGCAGGCCCGGTGGCAGCCCCACGGCAGGCCCGGTGGCAGCCCCACGGCAGGCCCGGTGGCAGCCCCACGGCAGGCCCGGTGGCAGCCCCACGGCAGGCCCGGTGGCAGCCCCACGGCAGGCCCGGTGGCAGCCCCACGGCAGCCCCACGGCAGGCCCGGTGGCAGCCCCACGGCAGGCCCGGCGGCAGCCCCACGGCAGGCCCGGCGGCAGCCCCACGGCAGGCCCGGTGGCAGCCCCACGGCAGGCCCGGTGGCAGCCCCACGGCAGGCCCGGTGGCAGCCCCACGGCAGGCCCGGTGGCAGCCCCACGGCAGGCCCGGTGGCAGCCCCACGGCAGGCCCGGTGGCAGCCCCACGGCAGGCCCGGTGGCAGCCCCACGGCAGGCCCGGTGGCAGCCCCACGGCAGGCCCGGTGGCAGCCCCACGGCAGGCCTGGTGGCAGCCCCACGGCAGGCCCGGTGGCAGCCCCACGGCAAGCCCGGTGGCAGCCCCATGGCAAGCCCGGTGGCAGCCCCATGGCAAGCCCGGTGGCAGCCCCACGGCAGGCCTGGTGGCAGGCCCCACAGCAGGCCTAGTGGCAGCCCCACGATAGGCCTGGTAGCAGCCCCACGGCATGCCTGGTAGCAGCCCCACGGCAGGCCTGGTGCCAGCCCCATGGCAGGCCTGGTGCCAGCCCCATAGCAGGCCTGGTGCCAGACCCATGGCAGGCCCCACGATAGGCCTGGTGGCAGCTCCACGGCAGGCCTGGTGGCAGCTCCACGGCAGGCCTGTTGGCAGCCCCACAGTAGGCCTGGTGACAGCCCCACGGCAGGCCTGGTGACAGCCCCACGGCAGGCCTGGTGGCAGCCCCACAGCAGGCCTGGTGCCAGTCCCATGGCAGGCCCCACGGCAAGCCTGGTGGCAAGCCTGGTGGCAGGCCTGGTGGCAGGCCCACGGCAGGCCTGGTGGCAGCCCCACGGCAGGCCCACGGCAGGCCTGGTGGCAGCCCCACGGCAGGCCTGGTGGCAGGCCTGGTGGCAGCCCCACGGCAGGCCTGGTGGCAGCCCCACGGCAGGCCTAGTGGCAGCCCCACGGCAGGCCTGGTGGCAGCCCCATGGCAGGCCTGGTGGCAGCCCCACGGCAGGCCTGGTGGCAGGCCTGGTGGCAGCCCCACGGCAGGCCTGGTGGCAGGCCTGGTGGCAGCCCCACGGCAGGCCTGGTGGCAGCCCCACGGCAGGCCTAGTGGCAGCCCCACGGCAGGCCTAGTGGCAGCCCCACGGCAGGCCTGGTGGCAGCCCCACGGCAGGCCTGGTGGCAGCCCCACGGCAGGCCTGGTGGCAGCCCCACGGCATGCCTGGTGGCAGCCCCACGGCAGGCCTGGTAGCAGGCCTGGTGACAGCCTCACGGCAGGCCCGGTGACAGCCCCACGGCAGGCCCGGTGACAGCCCCACGGCAGGCCTGGTGACAGCCCCACGGCAGGCCCACGGCAGGCCTGGTGACAGCCCCACGGCAGGCCTGGTGGCAGGCCCCCACACTAACAACGTGCACCCACACTCGATGCTGTTTGTAAACGGTGCTGCCTCCTCCTTCTGCCGTCGCCGTCCTCCCTCGCCAGTTTTATCCTGGCCTGCCACCCCCGTCCCCCGCCGCCAGGGCCTACCACAGGCACCTCTCCGGCCCTCCTGGTTATATCTTAGGGATATTTACAAGGCCAAGGAGTTAAGTTCTAACCTTCGAAAATGCTCGTCCTTGGCGTGGTGCGGCAACACTGGAATGCAGTGTTGTGAAGAGAGCATCAACAGGCGTATTTTTATTTTAGACTGCCTGTATCACTGTTAATATCACATGCTGCACTAATAAGCTTTAATAAATTCTGTATCATATTCATGTATTCACTTCCAAAAAACTATTCTTAATTTCATAGATAATTTGTATTTCATATTCAGGCCTATGGCAATAAAGTCGGCTGCTACACACTCCCAGATAAGTATTTTCGGCTCTATTTCTCTTGGACTTACACATTTCTAGTAGTATTTTACCTATACTACCCAATTAACTATGAGTCTAAACATTCTCCGAAATAATGTATGCAGTTATGTCATGCAACTGTTTTACTGTACCGTATGATATAATTAGTATAGTTCGTTTATATGCATATTCCAAATTGTTAAGCGCAATCTAATACATATATCTTCTACACTATTGTATTTTATCCATTATGTAACAATGCCCACGACTGACAAATTAGAGATCGATAGTTTACGAATGTTTAATAAAGAGAGATAATGGCAATACTGCCATTAGGGGAGGGCACGCGGCCTGTTGCCGCTAAGATGGCGACCGTGGCTGGTGTCACAATTACACTGCCTTCACTTCTTTCTCGACATCACCAAACATACGAATAACTTGTTTTAATTCTTTCTGTTGTGTTAAGGGTGTATCTAGACGAAACCTAGAGCTTGTATTGCAATAATGTTATGAGTAGGAGAATGGCAATTTTATGGGTGCAACCAGATTCGCTAGGCAATTACAGCAGATGTAAACAACATGATTAGCGCGGTAACTTTAAAGGGCCACATGATGGGCTCCGCTGGGGTGTGACCAGTTACTGGGTGGGTAACCGCATTAACACAGTGTATATGAGCTCACCCACCCACCCAAATAAATAAATAAATAAATAAATAAATAAGTAAATAAATATCAAATCAAATGTTTATTCAGGTAAAAGTACATACAAATTCAAACTCAGCCCTCTCATGCGAACAAGTATAGACCCTGAACTAAACCTCTTATCCAGTATCTATGACAATCATCACTTTAATGACCAAAACTGCAGATATTATATGGCACAAGATGTAAACAATGTATTAACACATAATCACAATGTCTCTGTAATTAGCTTGAATGTAAGATCTCTAAGCAACCACTTTGATGATGTTAGTGCCTTGATTCAAACTGTTGTCAACAAATTCTCTTTTGTTATACTTACTACAACGTGGTTAAAAGAGGATACTACTCAACTCTTTAACATGCCAAACTACTCAGCAATTCACAACTGTCAACCAATTCAGAGAGGAGGTGGTGGTACTGCTCTTTACTACCACCAAGATCTGACATGCTTAAAAGTAATTAGTACTAGAGACCCCCGTGGAGAGTATATCTTTGCTTGTTTCAGAGTCAAGGGTGCCGAAACTGTCCTGACTGTGGGAGCAGTCTATAGAATTCCTAACACTGATGTGTCTAAATTCAACTCTAACCTTAGAAATCTAATACTAGATAACAGACTGAACAAAAGCCATCTAATTATCGCAGGTGACTTTAATATTGACCTCTGCGAGCCTGATAAACCGTACTGCTGCTAGTTTCCTCAACTGTATGAATTCCTGCTTCCTCATACCCTTAATCACTAGACCTACTAGAATCACTGATAGTACTGCCACGACTCTTGATCACATCTGGACCAACATAACCTCTCTGCTTACCTCAGAGATAATCATTGATAGCACTACAGACCATTACCCCACATTTCTCCTAACCAACATTAACAAACCACCTCTAGAGACAAGGGAGATAAGCTTTAGGCTGCACAATGAAACTGCTATAGGCAATTTTATAGCTGCTGCTGCTAATATCAACTGGGAGTCCGAATTAGGTAACATAGGGGACATCAACCTAGCAGTGCAATATTTTCTTCAAAAAACTCTCAGCCTTTATAACACCCACTGTCCTATGCTAACGAAACAAGTCACAACTAAAAGGCTAAACAATCCTTGGCTTACAAAAGGGATACTTAAATCCATTAATAAAAAACATGACCTTGAGAAGAAGTATAGGTTAGGAATCGTCTCCAAAGAATTTTCAAAGAATTACTCATCATTGCTATCTAAAATAATTAGAAGAGCCAAAACTAAATACTACGAAGATAAATTTACCCAAACAAAGGGCAACATTAAGAAAACATGGAGCACAATTTCACAAATATTGGGATCAAAGAAGATTTTAAATAACAAACCAATACTCCTGTCCAATAACGATGGTCAGCTTACAGCCTCTGATACTGCTATTGAGTTCAATAGGTTCTTCTCTTCCATTGGGTCATCCCTTGCAAATGATATTCCATCTTCCAGTACTGATGTTCAGGACTATCTTACAGGTAACTATCCACAGTCTCTGTACCTAACGCCTGCAAATTCCACTGATGTTAATGAGATAATCCTTTCCCTTAAAACCAAGTCTAGTGCCCTTGAGGAGATACCAACTTTAATTTACAAAAAAGCCTCCAGATCTTTAGCCCCTGCTATTGCATTGCTCTTCAACAAGTCACTTGAACTCCAAACCTTTCCAGATATTCTAAAAAAAGCGAGAGTAACCCCTGTCCACAAATGTGGTGATCTCACTGATGTTAACAACTACAGACCTATATCAATCCTGCCAAACTTGTCAAAAATATTTGAAAAACTAATCTACAAGCAGCTTTACTCTTATCTAGCCAAACACAATATACTTAGCTCTTGTCAATATGGCTTCAGACCCCAAAAAAAGCACTAACGATGCACTTATTAGTATGATTAACTTGATACATGCAGCTCTTGATAAAAATGAGTTCCCTGTTGGGTTATTTGTGGACCTGCGTAAGGCTTTTGACACTGTCAACCACCAAAACCTTCTTCTTAAATTACATCATTATGGAGTCAGAGGTCACTCCCTGCAATACCTCAAATCTTACCTTACTGACAGGCTCCAGTATGTTTCTGTGAATAATTCAATTTCTCCCACCCTACCCATCAACATTGGTGTTCCTCAGGGCAGCATACTTGGCCCTCTCCTCTTTCTCATCTACATTAATGACCTTCCAAATGCCTCCCAACACCTCAAACCAATTCTATTTGCTGACGACACAACCTTCATTTACTCCAGTCCTGACCCCCCTTGCTCTAAATGTCACAGTGAATACTGAGCTAAATAAAGTCCATCTTTGGCTAACTGCCAACAAACTCACCCTCAACATT